CCCTGTCGGGTAAAGGAAGGCTCTTCAGGAACGTTCCGCATGGACTCGGGACCGCGCTCACAGGCCCTGTGCCCACAGCCGCGCGCCCGCACTGACCAGGCCGCTCGTCTCATTACAGACAAGTAGAGCCTGACCTGGTCGCTTCCTCTTTGCAGTGGCCCCTGGCGCCGGCCCTGCCCTGTGCCCGAGCCGAGGCTGGCAGCGGCCCAGCAGCGCTCCGCCTGGGGCGGGCCTCGGGGGGCTCCACGTCGTCATGGGCTGGGGACCTCAGGCCAGTTCGCCTGCCAGGAGCCTGGGGGGGTCGGGCGGGCCTCGGGGGGCTCCACGTCGTCATGGGCTGGGGACCTCAGGCCAGTTCGCCTGCCAGGAGCCTGGGGGGGTCCAGGGCCAGGACACCCCGCCGTGGGAGCCCGAGGCAGGGCACGAAGTGCGTCCACCAGCCTCCCCTGGAGTCGCTGGCCATCCTGGCTGGGGAGCCGCCGGGGGCACGCAGGTGTGGGTGATGGGCCCAGAGCCACCCCGGCCGGGGCAGGGGCATTGCTCCCCTGGGCCTCACCCAGGCTGCCTCGGGGACATGCGGCCTGAGGCAGCTGCTCCTGGCCTGCGCCGTCAGGCCTCCCAGCCCCCACCCGCTGGGCCAGCGGCTCACTCGTCCGCCTGCCCCTGCAGTGGGTCAGCGTCCAGATGACGGGGCACTCCTGAGGCCCCAGTCAGTGTGCGAGCCAGGTTCTGCCGGAGGGGAGGGGCGGGGGCCTGGGCCCTGGAGGCAGTGGTGACCCCTCTGGGCTCGCAGGAAGTCCCAGGGGCTGAGGGGGACGCCTGGGACGGGCTGTGGCCTCGGGCCCATTCTGCTCAGTCTCCTCGGGTCGTGCAGCGAGCTGGGGGTTAGGGAAGAATGTCCCTGGCAGCCCAGCTGCCCGCGGGCTGCGCTGCTCCCGTGTGCGCCAGGGCAGGGGCAGTGAGGCTGAGGCGGCTCCTGCCTCCCCAGTGGCCGGGAGCTTGGCCTGGGCCCCGGTTCCTCCACGTGGGGGCTCCCAACCTGGTTGCGCTGGCAGCTGCCACACCACCTGCCCAGAATTGACCCTTTGCCACTGGTAAAGCAAGGCCCAGAGCTGGCCCCAGGTCAGAGGGGGGTGTCGCCAGGGGCCACCACATGTCCCAAGCTGGGGCCTGTGCGTGCAGACCCTCATCCCAGGCTGGGCCTGTGTCTGGCGCCAGGGCGGCCACCGCGCCGCCAGCCCTCGAGGCCACCGGCCTTGACCTGGGGTCTGGAGTGAGGGGAGAGGCGTCCGCTCCCCCACCCACCTGGTGTTCCTGGGGAGCCTCAGGCCACACACAGGTCACCCACACTGAAGCCCCAGGGACCCAAGCCTGGACACCTGTGATGTCCAGGGCCAGGGGAGGGACCATCCCTGTCTCCGAAGGGAACCCAGCTGTGCCAGTGTCCAGCACATCCCAGACCCCTCGCAGTGCTGACCAGACCTGACTATCCTGGCGGCCGTGACTGCCAGGCGGGGAGGGGCCCAGTGATGTTGAGGGGTGTGGAGCATCTCGTGCTTCTGACCTCCGGAGGACACCGGAGACTGTTGCCACCAGCCGAGGGCGCCATTGATGAGCAGGGGTCAGCATGCTGCCAGGCAGCCCCAGTACACAGGGTGCCCCCCAAATGCCAGCCGGGCTGAGAACGGCCTCCACGCTGAGCACGGGCAAGTTCCTGCAGTCTCACCCAGCTGGGGTGGCAGCCTGTGTCCATCCTGCCAGGACAGGCCGCTGGGTCCCCACAGAGCCGTGGTCACCCCTGTTGGCCATGGAGATGGGGCCCTCCCTAAGCCCAGCTGGCTTTGCCTTTGCCCTCTGCACCCCCCCCGCCCCCACCCGTCGGCCCGCCCACCCAGGAAGCGCAACCAAGGCGGGAGCACCGGCCCTGGGCCCAGGGCCGGCGCCTGAAGGCAGGACAGGAGGGTGCAGGCCTTGGCTTTTATTGAGGGCAGGCTGCGGGCTCCCTGGCCTCTCGGGAGCCCGCTGTCCATCAGCCTGGCTCCCGGGCCCACGCAGCTGGCCTGAGCTGGACAGGCTGCGAGGGCAGGCCCAGGCCCCGCTGCCCTTCCTGCGGGTCTCCTCCCGCCCGCCCGGATCCTGCGCACCTGTGGCACCTCCAGGGTGGGCACGGGCGGGCCCCCCGGTGGACCCTGCCTCTCCACGGGCACCCCGCCCTCCTGCGTGACGGGAGGACAGCCCCGCACCGGGCCTACAGCCTCTCCAGGGCCCCCGAACGGGTCCTCTTGCACAAGGGGCATGGGGGCTCCTCGGAGGCCCGCCAGGACCTCTTGGGCCTGAGTCCCGGGCCCTCGGCCGTGCCAGGCGGGGGAAGGTCACCCTTGGCCGGGCCCACACTGGAACTGGACGCTGAGGAGAGGGGGAGGGAAGTCAGCAGGAGGACCCAGGCAGGGTCTGCACCATCCGCGACCCCGGAGCCTGTGTCCTCCCACTAAGGGACACTTCTTCCAGGGATCCCACGAGAAAGGGGGCAGTTGACGTTGGAAGGCCCCTCATCTGCCCGAACCCTCATTTTACCCGTGGGAAACCAGACCCAGCAAGGGAGATGCAGCTGAGCCCCCCACGGGCACAGTTGGGATGGGGCCCGGAGCTTGGGGTGAGGCGCCTCGGCTCGCCGAGGGCCCGTCCTCCCCGGGGTCTTAGCTCCTGTCCCCAGCTCGGCCTCACCTGTATTTCCCAGGCTGCCCCTGGGCAGTTGAGCTTCCAGAAAGGCGGAGCAGTGGCTGTTACCTGGGCCCAGAGTGCCCTGCGGCAGATCCAGAGGCCAGGCCGTGGCCTCAGGGCCGGGGAAGCAGCCCCCGGCCATCAGGCGGCCCAGCCAGTGGCTCTCGCACTGACCGGCGGGCCGCGTGGGGCCGGGCAGGTAGAGGGCCAGGGCCCGGAGGTGGCGCAGCCGGAAGTTCTTGGGCTTGCCTCCCTGGGCGCTGGGGCCCTGCGGCGGCTGAGCCCCCAGCCCCCCCTCGTAGATGTCGGGTGGCGTGTCAGGGCGGCTGGGCGTCCTCGGGCCCAGCTCACTGCATCTGCGGAGGGCGAGCAGGAGGGGTGGGCCAGGGCGGCGTGAAGGCGCACCCCCTTGGTGCGGCTGACCAGCGCTTGATGCTCCCGGCTCGGCCTGCCCAGCCCCTGCCGGCCTGTGTGGAAGGCCCCTTTGGCCCTCCCCCAGCCCGCAGGGAGGCTGAGGAGCCCGAGGCCAGGGCACCAGGGTCTTTCAGGCCTCGGCGCCCTTCCTGACGCCCTTGGTGGCCCCACCCTAGAAAGCATCCTGGCGCCAGGGTGGCGATGGAACGGGGTCGGGGCACAGGCCGTGGCCATGGCCACTCCCCTCTCCCAGGCATGCATGTCCCTGAGACTGCCCCTGGCTTTGGGCCCAGGTCGGGGCAGGGGGGCATCTACCCTGGCGCTCCTCCCCGCAGCCCGGCACCTTCTCTTATGCGCAGCTGGGAGAATGCACAGACCAAGGCTTCCATGGAGGGCCAGTGTGGGGACAGCGGCCAGGCCCGTGCTGCGGACCCTGCCCTCCCCTGCCTCGGGGCTGGGTCTGCAGGTCTCCCGTGGCAACGGGCTCTGTGATGTCACAGGGGAAGCGTGCAGCTTTCCTGACCCCCAAGTTTGGGGAAGGGTGATGCCCGGGTCGGGCAGAACCCTGGGCCCTGGCTCCTCTGCGCTGGGATGCCCGCACGGAACAGACCTCGCTCCTGCAGACTGACGGTCATGCCCCTCTGCGGGTGGGCATTGAGGGTTAGGGGTACAGACCTGGTTAGACGTGGGTCTGTGCTTTGACTTTTGAGAAATGAAAGAAAAAAATAAGTGGGAAACACTGCATGTTCAAGGACTGCAGGAAACATTGCTGTGAATGTAGTGCTCTGGGCCTCGCTGCGGGCGCAAGGGCGAAGTCTCCGCGCTTGAAGCTGTCCGTCCCCACTGCTGCATTCAGTCAACCCCCGGCCGGGGAGGGACCGCAGGGCGCAGCAGACCCCTCCTGGCTCCCGCTGCTCCCCTCAGCGGTGTGTCTCAGTGGATCTGCCTGTTCTGCTCCCCGCTGTCTCTGGGGAGTCCTCCCCTGCCCACCTCTGGCCAGCACCCCAGCTCTTGAATTATACTTAACGCATTAATAAGTAAAAATCTTTTTTATTTTAAAGCAGTATTCCTTAAAGATCTATATATTCGTTGAAATTCTTATGACCCTCCCAATGACCCTAGAGACCGAAATCTCACATGGAATTTACATGGGAGCCCAGATCACTGAAGACAATTTGAGAAAGTTTGAGTGCTCAGATTTCCTGACCTCAAAATTCAGTGCTTCAGAAACAAAATGGTGTGGTGCTGACCTAGGAAGGACACCAGGCCGATGGAATAGGAGGGCCTGGAAGTGAGCCTGTGTGTCTGTGGTCTGGCTGTCTACAAGAATCGCTCATCATAGTCTCCCAGGAACAGTGCTGGACAACTGGACAGTCACAGGAATGGAGTTGGAGACCCGAACATGTCCCACCGTATGTGAAAACGCCAGAGACCTAAGTGTAGGAGGTAAGACTGTAAAGCTGGCAGGCAGCGTATCTTCAAGGCCTTGGGCTTGCAGTGGATTCTTACAGACAGTACATATTAAAGCTTAGAGCCTCGAAATCATATGTTCAGTGGAAGAAGCCAGACGCAGAGTGTCCCAGAGTGGATGGGCCGCCTGTCTGTGGGCCTCACCCGCGCGCTCACAATTCAGTTACACTGCAGGGACACACAGAAGGGTCAATAACTGGTTTATTTACAAAAGGGGAAAGGAGCAGGAAACAACCCAGGGAAAGAGAGCGGGCTACAGAGTCACTGGGACACCTTAGGGCTGACTGAACACACCCAGTCACTGGGACAGGAGCCGCGAGCAGGAGAGCTGTTTCCGGAGAGCAGAGGGCCCGAGATGCAATCCGCCCTATTTATCCCCCAAACCTCCCAGAATTCCTGCTAGCTCCGCCCCTGGGCCCTCGCTTCTCTCCCTGGTGCTGCTGGGAGTTGTAGTTTCCAGTCACTGGAGTACGGTGTAGGGTCCAGAAAGCTGGAGTGGGGGGTGGGGTCCACGAGACTCTGCAGGACGTCCTTCCCCTTAATAGAGGAACGCTATGGATGCACTTAATTCTGCTGAGGTGTACCCTGAAAAGTAAGTCTGGCCACGGTAAACAGCTGGCCAAGAGTCTTCAGGACTGGCAGGGTCCCCACAAGGACAGCCTGAGGACTGTCATCGCCTAGAAGGGCCAACGGTCAGGTAAGGCCTGAGCAGAACAGGACATCAGGTGAAGAGTGAGGAAATTGGAGCAAGTGTGACTTTCAGGCTCATGCCACATCAGCACTGGCCCCTCACGGACGGTGGCCAGCAGTGCTGCACGAGCTCGATTCCTGGCGAGGGGCACCCGCAGAGCGCAGCAGACCTCTCCTGTCTCCCCACTGCTCCCCTCAGCAGTGCACCTCATCAGTCTGCCTGTTCTGCTCCCCCTCTGTCTCTGGTGACTCCCTTCACTCTCCACACCTCTGGCCTGCACCCCAGCTCTTGTATGCATAAATAAGTCTTTATTTTTAAAAGTTTGATTTATTTATGCATGTAGAACTGGGGTGCAGGCTCCAGAGATGGAGTGGTGAGAGGAGTCACCAGAGACAGAGTGGGGAGCAGAACGCGCAGATTGGTGAGGTGCACTGCTGAGGGGAGCAGCAGGGTGACAGGAGAGGTCTGCTGCGCCCTGGGGGTCCCTCCCAGGCTGGAATCGAACTGGTCTGGCGGTGACTGGCTGTGGACAGCTTGCAGTGCTGCCTTTGATCCACCAGGGAGGCCCCTGCCAAAAAGCATTTTTATAGGGCTCCTCCTCCAGGTGGGCTGGCTAAGAAAGCTCTCTCCGCCAGAGCTTAACCCTTACGCTCTTCCCCTAGGGCATTTACAGTTCTTGGGTTTTACATTTTGTGTGTGAGTCGTTTTTGTTAATTTTTCTATACAGTGCCAGCAGGGCAGACCTTTATTTGCGCATGGATTTCCAATTTTCCAAGGCCACTTTTTGAGGACCTTTCCTGATAGTCGTTCTCTGTCCCGGGCCGCCTGACCTGTTTCACCTATTTCATGATCGGTTACTTTGCCAACACCCCCGAAGGGCAGGCCGCCCGCCCCAGCCTGCAGGGCACGCGTTGTCCAGC